CGATAAAGTTCAATACTGTGCATGTTGTTTGACGTTCCTAACAGAACCCAACATAGTTCTAACCCTGATTTCATTCCAATAATCAATAATCAAACAAAATGCAATAATCTCATACTCATTCAGGTACTCATACCTGAGCTGGCGCGGCACGACGAGAGCTAGTGGTCTTAACATGAATTCGAAACATATAATCACATAATCAACTTTTTACAATTAAACCAGTCTACAGAAACGCAGACTGGCTCTGATACCAAATTGTAACGCCCCACTTTTATTTGCAAAAAAATCAGAATAAATTTTTTTAATTTGTTTCGAAACAATACTCGAGGCGCTACTCATTTTCAAAACAAAAATCAATTCTTAACAAAAATCTCAATACTCAAACAATCATCAATACTCATTTGACAATAATAAATTCAATTCTGCAATCCAATAATCAATTCCATAATCAATTCTGCAAACCAATAGTCATAACATCTTAGGGAGTACACTCCCTAACAATAACCCATTATTCAATAATAAAGAAAGCAATAATAGTAATATTCAGTTCAAGGCGGAAGCAATATCAAATAATAAGACCACCACTCGCATCTCCCCGCCGTGCCCGCAATACTAACCTGCATCCATGAAGAGCAGGTGGGGATGAGCACAAGAGGAAACCATAGTGCTCACCATTATGCAGTAAACGTTATTCACAATAATGAAACAGTAATCAATAATCAATAAGGTATGGTCTCAGCATGTATACGAAGCAATAATTTATCTCATTCCCCGTCAATAATATCAATAATCAAGACTCATGTGTACACATCTATCATTAGCTACAGCTAGTATCTTCGAAGGCATCGCCATGTGTCTTACATCGTCAACTAGACCGTAGGAGTACATGTCGAAGGCATCGCCATGTGTCTTACATCGACATTCATTTCGAAAGCATCGCCATGTGACTTACATCGAACAAACATATCGAAGGCATCGTCATGTGACTTACATCGATATGGCCCACAGTGGGTCTTAAGGGAAAATCTCAACAATGGGATAACCGTTCGATGGCCGGTACAGCTCACATCGAAGGCTACATGGTTCACATGCACACTTTGATCATACCACAAGCAAACAATAATAACAGTAATAACATTTACAACATAGCCAATTTTTCAAACCCACCTAAATATTTCGGTAGAAAATGGCACACAAAAGCAAGTACGTAGGATGAGGCTCGACTCCTCAAACACCTACATTTAAGCGAGATATTTTATCAATAATTTATCTCATTACTTGAATTTAACCTAAAACCCATACTTAATAGAAATTAAGACTTAAGGGTTTTAAATCGGATTTTTCGTGGACTTGGAACTCTCTTATTTTTTGCAAAATAGGACCCGAAAAATTAATTTAGATTCTCGAGACTTAAAATAATTTTTCCCAAATTTTTCTAAATTTAAAAATAATTTTTATAGTTGAAATCGATATTAAAAACGGTTTCCAGAACACAAAGTTTGGTAAAAAAAAACTGAATTGGGCTGTTATGTAAAACTGGGCCAAGATATCATAACATTTGGGCCTAACATGCTCTAATTGGGCTGTTCCAAGGCTGTAGATCTGCGGGCCAGCACTGGGCCTACACGCGGGCCGCTGCTGTTGAGATTATACAGGCTGAGTTCGGGCCATTCGGCCCGCGCGCCTTAGGACATAGGCTGGGAGTGAAATGGTAAAACAAAAAATAGGGCACCATAATTTGAACCCCTAACCTCCCCCACAATAAGGCGCATAGAACGCCGCTGCACCACTCCATGTTTGCAAATTAAAATGTAATCTTATGCTACTTAAACAATTTAAAACCTGGGACATGAATACAATACAGAGACGGAACTAAAAATCGAACAGACTGAAAGTATTTCACAGAAGCTGTGGTAATGACCAAATTTTAACAGCCACTTCACGAGGGTTCGAATATTTACTAAAATAACAATTTTTTTTTTACAGAATTCGAACAGTTATAAAACCGGGTTTAATGGGTAGAAAGTCGAAATGACAATACATGTTCGAAACAAACGAACAACTCACGGTTTTAAAAACAAACTCATGGTTTTAAAAACAAATGAACGGTATAACGACAATTCGAAACGGTATTATCGAGACTCCAAAACAAACCGAAATAATCACAGCAACGTTACAACACTCCTTTTTACGAAATTGAGAGTTCCAATGATCCCGAAAACCCACGAATATGCAAATATATATATAAGCATATGAGTCAATAAATCATCCGAATTCGAAACAAAGTTTCGGTAGCACGTGCGATATACTTATCTATCATGCGATATATGAAAACGACCGCAATAAAGAGAGGATTCGAATAAATTACCCGATTTCGAGAAACTACGAGTTATCGAACGGGAAAACGGGTCGAACGACAGGCCGCACGTACGATCTAACGGGGCCTCAAAACTCGAACCTTGGAAACGACGCAGCTCACGGACAGCTGTTGCACTGGACTCAACGACGGATGATCAAACGCTGCGGAGGGTTTCGGTGACTGCGGGGCTGCTCGGAGGTGCTCGCCGGTATCAATGGTGGACGCCGGTTGTTGGCTCGAGTGGACCGTGGACGAACGGGAATCTGCTGTCTCAACAGGACGATGACTACTGCTTGGAGAAGGGACGGCGATTCTGCTTGAAACGGCGGTCGGCGGCGGCAAGATGCTCGCCGGAGAAGAAGATGTGACATTTTTTTTTTTTT